TTGATGGAAAAGGCAGCATTGGGGGAAAAGGCAGCATTGGAGGAAAAGGCAGCATTGGAGGAAAAAGCAGCATTAATAAAAATAGCAGTGTTAATGGCTATATTGATGGAGGAGCAGTGTTGGTAGAAGAGATAGCGTTGGTGGAAAGAGCAGCGTTGCTGGAGAAGGTAGCATTGATGGAAGAACTGAGCCAGATGCGAAAGGGGAGGGGTATCCAGAAAAGGCTACGGCCACGGTGCACCCAGCCAACCGCCCGATTCGCCCGATCTGAATAGAAGCCCTGATCGATCTCTCCCTTTCTAAAAGTGGCAATAATTGGCTAACACAGTCACTGGGGGCTCACGCAGCTGTAAGAGGAGGCTTGAAAAACCTCGCGACCCCTGAGACCACCGCAAAACGCTCTCAAGCGCTCTCAAACACCTCCGTCGCCTCCGTCGTCACTATGGAGCTGCCGTTTTCGCCGCTGAGATCGCTGAGCCACACAACATTGCAACATTAGCTGCTTTAATAACCTTTCTCTGCTTCAAAATAGTCGAGATCGTAGACTTTGGTTTCTTTATATTCTGCAGCAAGATCGGTAACACGCGCACCACGCTCATAATTTTCAATAATTCCCTTCTTCACTTCGATTTCAATTTTCATTAAAACCTTCTACTCACCAACATTACCACCCTTAAATTAATTTAAGTAGGCCATGATTAATTGCAAAATTAATGCAGCGGCCACACATGGGTCGCTATTGCTCGTAAACAAACAACAGGAAATTTGGCGTGTACAAAACAAAATGACGCATAAGAGGAAATCGGCCATGGCCGTGTTTGATCGCCACCCAATTATGTGTTCATGACCAGATTCAAAAATTTTGTGAATGTTTTGGTTGGAATCCGATCAGTTGTGGGTTGCAGGTGGTATGCCCTGGTACGGGCGTAACGGAGTCAGCCCGGAGCACCGGATACCGTTCCGGTACGCTGCTCCGGAGGGCTCACCCACCCGCCCGAGCTCCTTACCTGTGTTTTAAAGCTTCTGCGCTGCCATGCATGTGCATAGCGCATACAGCGCCTGAGTGATGCTCCGCAGAGCAGCTGGAGCATCATGGAGCATCGCGGAGGTGGTACGGTTGGAACGGGATTTGAAACCTACCACTGAACCCGATTTGGTCATGGTCAGAAGCGGTCATGACTAGAGGTTCTATTGTACTTGCCAACCAGCATGTATTTACAATAGTTGCAACTTCCCAGTGAGCTTCCAAGTAACAAAGTTAATGGGAGACAATGGATTCTTTTAACAACTGCATAATTCATTTAATGACCACAGTGGTTTGCTTAACAGCTGCAGCAAATAAAAGTTTGTAAAATTGGGCATGGCTCACTTAATAACTGACACACTTAGCAACGGTAGTTCTGTTCCCAATTGTGGTCATAACTCAAGGGCTACCTGTCACTCCTTTAAAATGCCAGCTTGACATCCACGGTTCACATTTGGTGACTTTGTAATTCTTGCTAATGTCTTTACCAAGATAAGTCTTCCCATCCCGTCAAACCGGACAGGGTTTTGTTTTTTGTTTATTGCCAAGAAAGGAAAAAAGCTGGTTGGAGGAACTCACTATTGTGTAGAAATGAACTAGAGGCAGTGAACCCAGTAGGAAGGAAAATTTGAGGATCTGTGTTTCTTCCTCCGCATGCCGAAATGGAAATTGGACAATAGGTGATTCCATATTAAACGTCCATTTCCTACCATTCAATCAGAGCTGAAGAAGCTTCTTGGATGAGAAGCTAAATGTCTTTAAAAAACAACAACAGACAGTCCAGTTGCCTCTTGAAAAAAGCATCTTTGGCACAACCATGATCCGGATGACTGAAAACCTCCATAGATTGTCCATATTGAACATAAGGAGAATTGATTCTGCTCCAGAGGCTCCAGGAATTTATATGACTCCTTCTTCCCAAATAAAATTAAAATGATTTAATTGGATTCAGACAAGCAATAAATATACCATTCTCTTCTAAACATTAAAAGCTAATGTACATATCAAAAAGTGCTATCATGCATCAGGACTTACACAAGCAAAATCTGAAACTAGCTTTGATAGCTTTCCAAATTTGCTACCATTTTTAAAAATCACGTCATCTCCTTTCCTTCTAAATTTCTCATTTTAATCATGTCATCCCAACTTCCTAGGGAGCTGACTGATCCACAGTTTCAAAAATGCTGTTGTCTCCCGTTCTTCCTTCCCAGCATCCATCTACTTGTTTATGGCTCTCATATTTCTGTCTTGTTTCCTTGTTTGCTTGTAGATGGGAATGGATACATCTTACTGGACATTTGTTAATGCCTTCTCAATATTTGGGAGCATTGCACTTTATTTTGGCATCATGTTTGATCTGCACAGTGCTGGGATCCACATCCTCTTTCCTTCCGTGTTTCAGTTTACAGGTGGGTACTGATTTTTTTCTTCCTTCCTTCCTATCTGCAAACAAGTTACCCGTAAAATGTCAAAATTGTGTATCCCAGCTGATCTTTTCCCTTAAAAAAAAAAGCTTAGTCCGTCAGGTTGGGGTGCCCACCCTGTCCTGCCCCTCCCACACCACCTCACTCTGCCCCTCCCACACCACCCCGCCCCTCCCAGGAGTCTGAATATGGCGTGTTTTGGATGCAAGGTAAGTGCAGGGCCCATGCGGAGGCTCTAGGAAGGGGAAAACGGGCCTCACAGAACAATGGTGGGTTTCAAAAATTGTTCGAAGAGTACAAAAATTGTACTCTTTGGGTGTGGCCTCCTTTGTGGGAGTGGCTTCCTGCCCATGTGACCGGATGGGAGTGGCTTGCCGCCCATGTGGCCGGGTATGAAGAAGCCGAAGACAATTGTCAGAACCACCTTAAATTACCTCACACACAGCCCTGGCATGCATAAGAATATGATGTAAAGTTGTTTTTTAAAGGGCATCTTTGGTTTGTGTTAAAACACACGCGATGTTCTAATTGCACCACAAACGCAGTAGTCATTCTTACCTTTCACAGAGGCACTGAGTTTTATAAATATGAGCATGATAGTGTAGAATAATCATATCCAAGGACCAGTGGTGGGTTTCAAAAATGTTTTTGTAGGTGTGGCCTGCTTTCCGGGTCCACTGGTGGAACCTCTTCTAACCGGTTCAGTAGATTTGACGAACCGGTTCTACCGAATAGGGGTGAATTGGTAGGAACCCACCTCTGTCTCGGAACTTCCGGAAGGCCAGAAACAGAAATTTTTGAAGCCCACCCCTGCCTGGGTTGCTTCTGTCATTGCACCCTAAAGTTTGCTTTGAGGTTTGGTTGGTTTGAAGGAACTCCACATGCATCAGCCCCCTAACTGTAACTCTCATGTCTCCTTCCCAGGTACCGCTTCAAATGCCCTCCGACAGCCATATATCTGGTTGACCATAATACTATCTGTCGCTCTCTGTTTGCTGCCCATCATTGCCCTCCGATTCTTGATGATGACCATCTGGCCGACAAAAAGCGAAAAGGTACATAGGAGGTTCTGGTTATTAATCCAAGTTGCCCACAAGTTGAAGAAGAGCTGGTTAGGGTTTTATTTATTTTTATTTTTTGTATAATCATGAATCATGAGTTGTGTGTGGTGTAATGTCCTCGACTTGCGACCGCCCTTGAGTCCTTGACTAACGACCAGCCACAAGTCCTCGACATATGACTGACAGCCCAGCAACCAAAGGCTCGTGCCTATTGGCTAAGATGCGCCTGGCTGGAAGAGGGCTTTTTACTGTGTTACCATTGGCTGCTCTGCTGGACAGCTCCATCTAAATAGCTGTCAAGCAGAGCAAGGTGCTGAACAGTTCTGTAGTTGCCTTGAGCGTTGTTCTGTGGAAATAAAAGCTGTTCCGTTTACCTCAGCAAGTCTGATGCCTCTTCCTTGGGCTCAGGCTTCAATATGTGGTGCAGTTGTCAGGGTTCCAAGTAACACCCCCAACGAAAGAAGATTCCGAGGCTTGAAGTTCCTCAAAGATCCATTTTATTAGAGATGTCATATTGGCACATCTGAAAAAACCCGAATCTGAAAGTTTCCTGGTTTCCCCCACCCAAATGAAAGTTTAAGTCCATGCCCATCACCCACATGCCCATCACATGGTCCAATCAGGCACCATCCTAACTGGAGATACTTTCCAGTCACACCTCTCCAGGTGCAGGGCAGAGTGGCCTTGACTCTCTGGAGAAAGGAATGTTATTTTGACTACATATCTTCCCAGCTCCATGCAATCCCCCCCCTCCCAGTTTCCCACAACGCTAAATGTGGCAGGCCTGAAGACCCAAGGCCCAAGATGGCTTCCAGGCCTGAAAGCAGCGGCCTAGAGGTGGAGGTCTCGCCTCACAATCAGGAGGCTTTGAGTTTGATCCTAGGTAGCAGCAGGTATTTTCTCTCTGGACACAATGAGTAAATATCAGCTGCAAACTCTGTGTTGGCGACAGGAAGGGCATCCAGCCAGTAAAAACTCAGCTCCATTCAGTTCCCCTGACTCAGTGGTGGGTTTCAAAAAATTTTATAACCTCTTCTGTAGGTGTGGCCTGCTTTGTGGGAGTGGCTTGCTGGCCAT